CACCGGTGCCGGCCACGTGACTCCCGACATGTAGCTACTAGCGCGTGCACGTGTGTGTGTGTGTGCGCGCGCGCACGCGTGCTGTCGGGGTAAGTGTCGGTGCCTGAGTTTTTCCTTGCTGCCGGGAAGAAACCCGTGGCTTCTGAGCCTCGAAGAGCTATTTCTCTATGAAGATAGTGTGCAAATTAGAGCAGAGCAGTGTGGGATGAACCGAGGTTAGTTTTAGTTCCCAGGGTTACCCTTCATTTTTCTCTTAGAAATCGCTTTAATTTCTGCTTCTTTCATTTTGCAGGGGTCACTTAGTCACGTTGTCACTGCTTTTGCTGCTTGTACCCCGGAAGCATAAGTCAACATGTTCTTCTTTCTCCTTTATTTTACTGAAATTGGCCAGTGCCAGCTAGAGCAGTGCCTCTCAGTCCAAACTGCACATTCCAAGGAGATGGAGTGGCTTTTCATGTTACAGCTTGGGTTTAGGCAATGCTAATGTGCAGGTTGCCAGTGACCTATTCTAAAACAGAGGTTCACAAACTTATTTTTTTTTCTTTCCGTACACACCACCCAGGTTTTTATTCCCTCAGCCGAGTGCGCTCCGGACGCCAGGAGACAAGGAAAACACACGTACCTGGCGGCGCTCCGCTGACTGGGGACCCCCAGAAGCCACTCCCGCCCGGCCGGTCGTCCCAGCTGCGTCCCTCCCTCCCCAGCGATGCAACCCGCAGAGCCAACCCCGCAGGGAGCGAGAGAAGCTTCCAGTCCTGGCGCCACGACCTTCTTCCAGCTCCAAGGCCCTTGCCCTCGCCTCCCAGTTCACAAACTTATTGTTTTTGTTAATCCTCACTCCAGGATATTTTTCCCAATGCTTCCCAGAGAGAATGGAAAGGAGGGAGGGAGGAATGGGGAGAAACAGAGCGAGCCAGGGAAACAAACATTGATGTGAGAGAGACACATTGGTTGGTTGCCTTCTCACACACCCCCAACCAGGGCCCTCCCTGATCAACCTAAAACCCACGTACTTGCCTTTGACCGGAAATTGGACCCTCCACCCCGTGGTGCACAGGCAATGCCCTAACGGCCTAACCACTGAGCTCACCTGCCAGGACCAAACTATTTTATTCTAGGACCCTCGTTTTCACTGTTAAAAATTAGGAGCCCAAAGAAGTTTTTTTGTGGGACATAAATTGATATGTGTCATTTCAGAAATTGAAACAAAATGTAAAACTATTAATTCATTTAAAATAACACAAATAATTAAAATATTTTTTCAAAACAAAAAAACGTAGTGAGGAGCATAGCCTTGTTTTATATGTTTGGAAAGCTCATGTCTGAAGGAAAGACAGCTGGATTTACATAACTGCTGTTCCGCCTGTGGCAGTGCCACACCCCATGTGGCTGCTAGAGCACTTATACAAATGAGAGAATGATAGTGACGCTGGCAGATGTTATCTTAGTTTTGACCTCAATGGAGGCCCAGACGTCTTGGTGACACCTACACTTCTTCTCTCCTGGACTTTGAGAACTCCTCTGAGGCTGAGAAGACTCAGGTTTCTCTTCTTTGGGCAATACTCACTCAGTACATCATGCCTGCCTCCATTTCCTTCCACCTCCCTTTTAAAAAAATCGTATATCCTAGAGATCCCTCTATAATAGATTCCTGATTCCTTTTGATAGCCTATTTGATAGTTTCTCATACATGGAGACACTGTGTTATCATCTCTTACTCTGTAGGATCTGCAGCCTTGAAACACACCCAGAAAACCCAAGATGAGTTATTGACAATTTTGAACTTACATTCTAAGTTTTTCTTCATTATCTTAAGTGTGTTTTAACACTTTTTATGCTATTTGCCACTAGTATAAAACCAAATATGTAGGCCAAAAGGATTCCAAAGTAGGAATCTATATATATAAAAGGCTAATATGCAAAGTGTCCCCTTGGGTATTTGGTTGTGCATTATGATGTGTGCTGACCACCAGGGGGAAGCATGGAACGAAGGAAAGCCCTAGCTGGCAGCTGGTAGCCAGCAGCTGGCAGCTGGGGGAGGCAGGCCTTGGCTGGCAGCCAGAAGGCCCTAATCAGCCCTGGTCGCCAGCCAGGCCTAAGGGCCCTACCAGTGCACGAATTTTGTGTACCAGGCCTCTAGTTTTGTTAATATTTTGATTACCTCACATAAAAGGTTGGCAAGTCCTACTGGTCTGGTGTTTCATGCTGCTTTCCTTTCTATAGCTACTTATTCAGTTCTTAACTGGTTTTTCAGCCCAAGTCTCTCTCCATTTTAAGTGTTGTCGCCAGATTAATCTTTCTGAAGAAATTGGACTAGTCCAGTGATAGTGAACCTTTTGAGCTTGGTGTGTCAGCATTTTGAAAAACCCTAACTTAACTCTGGTGCCGTGTCACATATAGAATTTTTTGATATTTGCAACCATAGTAAAACAAAGATTTATATTTTTGATATTTATTTTATATATTTAAATGCCATTTAACAAAGAAAAATCAACCAAAAAAAATGAGTTCACGTGTCACCTCGGACACGCGTGTCATGGGTTTGCCATCACTGGGCTAGTCATTATTCATAGGTTTAAAAACATTAAAGTCTTCTCATTACATTGATTTTAAGATCCTTTGTGAAATCAAGAAATAAATGATTGGTGTCTTATTTGCAAAACTCTGAAAAATGAGTTTCAATCTCCTTACAGGGAATTTGAAGCATTAACAAGCACTCAGGGAGAAATTTAAGGGGTGATTGATTACCTGAATCCCACTCCAAGGTGCCGAAAGTGGTCAAAGGAAACATCTCTGGTTGCAGGGAACATGAGTATCTCAGAGGACAGAAAAGCAAATGTTCAGCTGCTCCCTGGGGCCGTGCTCTCTTCCTTCCTTTCTAGCTTCCCTTTCCCCTTACCCCTGCATTTGACTCAATAGTGTTTATAACATAATAGAGGCCCAATGCATGAAAATTTGTGCACTGGAGGGGGCGGTCCCTCAGCCCAGCCTGTCCCTTCTCACAGTCCAGGAGCCCTCAGGGGATAAGCAGCAGTCTGGCCTCCCTCTGCAGGAGCTGACCGGGCGGATCAGGGGAAGGCGCCACCTCCATCACCCCGCTGCTGCTGCCACTGCCGGCCACCATGGCTGCCTGCCCTTGGCCCTTGCAGCCGCCGCAGCTTTGTCCAGAAGGATGTCCAGAAGGACATCCATTCTATCTGGTCTAATTAGCATATTACTCTTTTATTAGTATAGATTCCTTTATGATGTCTTCAAGCTTATTAATTTATGGTATATATTCACTGACAGAAGACAGCAAAAGTGGAAGTACTTACAAATATGGCTTTTTATTCCACTTTAAGAACTTTAGATCAGCTCTTTCAACAGATTGAGCTGAAAATGTTTAACTTGCTGCATTGCATTTTATTTACCGATTTAGGAAACAGACTCAGTTCTGGTGATTTACATGTTAATATTAAAAGTATAGAGTCTCATGGCCTTTGTGCTCCTCACTCCCATGAGGGTAGGGATTTTTATTTGTTTTATCATCCAGCATCCAGAGCAGCGCTTGGCACAGAGTAAAAATTCAATAAACATTTTTTTGGACCAATGCATGAAAAGGCAACACAACCACAAACTCCAAACCATCTTTATTAAAAACTATCAATACAGTATAAAAATAGCTTCAATTATATAGAATATAGAAATATAGCTCTACAAAATTAAATTATTTTCACACAATTTAGTGTATAGACTAAACTTTAGTCCCTAAAGTTTTAGTAACATTTAATAACATTTTAAAAAACAGCCAAAGTATAAATCCTATTCTCAAAAATGTTTAGTGCTGAATACTTTTCCTCAGCTTCTTTCCAACATTTTGTACAGTAGCAGGTATGATTTAGCTGACTCCTTGGCTTTCAACCAGTGGATATTTGATAATAATAGTAGCAGCAGCTAACACTTTTATAGCACATAACATGTGCCAGCACTATTTAGAGGGAACCCACACACACAACAAACAATTTATTCACAATATTCTCAAGAATGCTCAAAGCAGACAAACCTACTAAGTTGGTTTCACAGGTTTTCCCATTTGTATTAGAAATATAAAAAAGCAGGCACTGCAAATTTACTATCTTGCCTGTAGGCATCATCATTAAAGTCCCTTGGCACAAAGTCCCTTGCTGAGTATAGTTCTTTAACCCCATAAAAATAAATCAACAATAGCTAAAGAAAAGGGAGGGAGGAAAGGCAGTAGACTCTAAAATGGAATTGTGGGGAGTTTAAAATACAGGGTGGGACAAAAGTAGGTTTATAGTTTATAGTGAGTATGCAGAAAACAGCTTATTCTTATATTTGTCCCACCTTGTATATGATGGTGATAAGACAGTACTTGATATTTTTTTAAAATGGCTATTATATAATCTTTTGCATCAATAGGCTTTTGTGAAAGGGCCCATTTGCAGGATGCTAACAAAATCCAACTTAATGTTTCTATACCTGCCAGAGTATATATCTCTGTGGTATCTGCACTGTCACTTTGTCCCCTTTATTTAATAGAGTGGCAGGTAAGTATTTATTGTCCAGTATTCAAACTAATCTATTTTCAGATGTGACTTAGAACATATTTGGAAAAAAGGTATACTAAGTTTATTTGCAATGTTTACTTTAATATCCATTTAGAGATGAAAACCAAGATGATGTTTGGTTTCATTTTTAAAAAATGTAATGTCTTTACTATGTAGACATTACGGTATCCATCTATAACATAGCAAATGATTTCTCCTTATTAAGATCTGTGGTCCGCTTTATCTTTTTGTTTCAGTTTTTGAGTGGTGGTCAGTATGATTCTTTGATACCAGAAAAGCAGTTCAATAGACTAAAATTTTATTAAATGAAGAAAAAAAACCCTGCTATGATAAAACCCCAAGTTTTCAGTCTGTTTGAAAATCTGAAGTGATAAGTAGCTGCATTTATTAATAATTCTCGGTATTAAAAAAAAAATCATAGTGTTTTTTTGAAAATATCAAGAAATTGAAGACATTTAATAAATATTTTTAAACACAGCCTTAATACCCATGATACTTTAATGCCCTGAGCTCAGAGAAGTGCCCTTGCTCATGGTTACAGCACTAATTGTTACAGGACTGGTCACGTTCTCTCAATTTCCTGACTCTTTCACCAGATTCAATATTAGTCTTGAGATAAATACACAACGAATTGAGTATTTTTCCAAGATAAATATTTCTATATTGATTTTACATAAAACACTTCACATTATTTCAAACTAGTCAATAAATTAATGTTATATACCAAAATGGAAATAAGTTAACAACTCCTTCTTCATATTTTGGTCAAGTATCTTTTCAAAAGTCTCACAATACTAATTAAGATCTAGTGCATCAAACCCAACAGCATATGATCTAAATATTTAACAATATTAAGTTCAGTGAAAAGAAACTAAACTGTATCTTCTGTGTATGGATTTCAGCAATCCTAACACTGCTCAGTGCTTCTTATTGTACAGTGTTGCTGTGTAGCAAGGAAACAGTTACAAGGTCAATCCAAAGAACAACTTAAAAGCCATTTCAATGGCAATTTCTGTAACGGAGTCATGAAAACAGACATAAAGTTCTTGAACTTTGGGATGAAGAAAGAGTCTCCTGTAGAGGAAAAGAAAACATTTATTTTAGAAATTCATATAACAAAGAAAAGTTAAAACTTTCCATTCATTTTATTTTATTTATTTTTTTGTTTCTGAAAGTTTCAGTAATAAATTAAAACACTAATCCAAATCTCCCCATATGGGCCACCAAAAACAAATAAACAAACAAACAAACAAGCAAACATACAAACAAAACCACTAATCCAAATCTATAGTAGAGGGAAATGCACTTAGATTTACTTTTAAATAAATGATATGTGCCTTAGGTCAATTATTTTTATTTTTCTACAGTGTAAAAAGCGTATTTTATCAATATATTTTACCATATCCCTGTTTTTAAATATTAAATTTACACATTATTATTATGGTAAAGCCAATGGTGATACCATCATTTTAAGTACAAGTTATTAAAGATTGACATTTACTTCCTAAAAGTTAATTATTAAAATATTAAATATATGATAGTTCCTTTTTGCAGATAGTATTGAATTGGGATTAACAATGAAATTTTACCTGGTTTTCTTTTTAATTTAAACATGTTTTTATTGATTTTAGAAAGAGGAAGGGGGAGGGATAGAGAGATAGAAACATTAATGAGAGAAGACCATCTACCAGCTGCCTCCTGGATAGAGCCCACAACCCGGGCATGTGCCCTGACCAGGAATCGAACCTCTTGGTTCATGGGTCAACGCTCAACCCCTGAGCCACACTGGCCGGGCTATTTGGTTTTCTTAAAGAATTAAAATCTATTTAATCAATACTATATAAATCAAACTAAATCAGCAGTTCTGCCTGACTTCCTTAAATGTCTCTATTCTACATAGACCTGCATCATCAGAATTCGACACCTCTTGATTCTTTCTATTCCAATTATTGTGAATACAGTTAACTGTTCCACTGCACACTGTGTGCGTGCCTAACTGTTCCTATCTCTATTCTCTCGTGTATCCATGCCATTCCATTTGCTGGAATGCTTACTTATCCAATAGCACAGCTCTGATCACACCACAGAACTGAACTGATGCTCCCAAGCTTAGTTGGTTATACATCAGAATTACAAGGGAGCTTATTGGGGTAGGCCCTTGTAGGGTGCAGGCATCTCTGAGTTTAACAGGTGTCTCAGGTGATTCTGATCCCATGGACCAGAACACAGGAATTACTGCTTTGGATAATGTTTGTAAAGTGTTTGTCATACAATTTAGTACTACATGGTAGGTGTCCAGTTGGTGTCACCTAACTTCCTGCCCCTTCCTCCAACAAGTCTTTACCCCCAACTAAGAGACTCTTTGTTGGCTCAGTATTTCCCTTAAAATTTAATTCCTTAGAATTGAAGGCTCTCTGCTTTCCACCTTGGTCTTTTTCACTTTCTCTTTGGCAGTGATCGGCAAACTGTGGCTCGCAAGCCACATGCGGCTCTTTGGCCCCTTGAGTGTGGCTCTTCCACAAAATATCATTTGCGGTTGCGCAAATACAGTGCAATTGAAACTCCGTGGCCCATGCGCAGAAGTCGGTATTTTGTGGAAGAGCCATACTCAAGGGGCCAAACAGCCGCATGTGACTCATAAGCCGCAGTTTGCTGACCACTGGTATATGGCATTCCTTTACCATTCTGGCAAACCAGTCTACTCACTGCTATGCCTTATGATTTGTTCATCCCTTCTTTTTCCTAAAATGTTTTATTCAAATCCAATTAATTTTCTAAACCAGATCAAATGGAATCTCTAAGCCTTTCCTTGTAAACCTAGATTCCCATAGCATTTGGTTGTATCAACTAATTTATTCTATCTAGTCTGTCTCCATATTCTATAATAATTAAAGAGTAATATGCTAATTAGACCAGACATCCTTCCAGACTTCCTTCCGGACAAAGCTGAGGCTGTGAGGGAAGCCCGGGTCCTGGGTGCTGGAGGGAAGCCGGTGCCGGCAGCCGGGGGAAGGAAGGCCTACTCTTACACCAATTTCGTGCATTGGGCCTCTAGTATATTCATAAATATATAGATATATGAGCATAGTTCATATTTCTTCTGCTAGATGTAAGACTGCTAGATACAATGAGAGTGCATTTATCTTTCTGTTTTCCATAACACCCACCCACCACCATAGTTTGCCAAGCACAGTTCCAATTACTAAATTGTTATATATTTATCAATATATGTGTTAGGTGCCAGTGGTCAAGACAGATATGATTCCTGACCTCACAGAGCTAACATTCTAGTGAGGGGGAGAAAGACCATAAACAAATAAGAAAATAAATAATAAAGAGGTTATATAATAGAGCGTAACTGAGTAGCCCTGTTAATACAGGAAAGAGATTATGGATCCTCTCTTTGAGGAGATGACTTCTTAGAACTGGTCTGAATCTCAAGGAGCTGGACATGCAAAGGTTAAGAGGCAGAACAGCCAATACACAAAGAATAGCAAAAACAAGATTTGATTGATGGGTGCCAATGTGGCTATGCATATGGGATGGAGGAGGAGAGTGACAGAAGGTGGAACCAGAGAGGTGGGCAGGGGCCAGGTCAGGCAAGGACTTACAGTTAGTTGGTGGGGAATGAGGAGGAGGAGAACAAAGGGAAGAGGGCAAGAAAGGATAGAAGAAAAGGAGGAAGTAGGGGTAGAAGGAAATAGCTATAAAATTGTGAAATCATTTATTTTTAGTTTATCACTAATATAATTTTGTAAGATAACGAAGAAAGCTATTTGTTTATTTTTAAATATATTTTTATTGATTTCAGAGAGGAAGGGAGATAGAAACATCAATGATGAGAGAGAACCACGCCTGCATACCCCCCACTGGGGATCAAGCCTGCAACTCAGGCATGTGCCCTTGACTAGAATTGAACCCGGGACCCTTCAGACTACAGGTCGATGCTCTATCCACTGAACCAAACCAGCCAGGGCAAGCTATTTGTTTTTAATAGAAAAGACTTGAGAGGAATTTAAAGGAGATACTTAGCAAATAAAATAAAATTCTAAAATATATTAAAATATTATAGTTAGGTTAATAATTTCATGCCTACATCCTAAAACTTTACCACATTTCTTTCACTTTTCTCTAACATTTTACTTCACTTTCAAATACTTTTTTCCACTTACCCTACTACCCAATAAGCCATAACTGGTGGTGCTTTTCTCTGGTCAGTCCAGTTTTCAGGTGAGCATTCAAACAACACTCCATGTTCTTTCACAGGATTTAGAGAAGACACCAAATTTGTAGAACCTGAGTGATCTGCAATGTTTAGTGCTTTCTTTTTCTGTAAATTAATAGATATTATTAGTATTAACTGGTATTAATAGTGCTGATCCTAGCACTTAAGAGCCTGAAATAATATTCTTTTTACCTGCAGGAAAATTTTTACTTTTTCTCATACTTTAAATACCATCCTATCTAATAATAGACAAACATGGTAATTGACCATACCTTCGCTATGCCTCCCATTGGCTAATCAGCATGATATGCAAATTAACTGCCAACAGAGATGGAAGCTAATTTGCATACGGCAGGCAGGGCAGGACAGCGCCTCCTCCCCAACCATCTGAGCCTGCTATCTGCAACCTAGTCGGCGGGCCTCTGTGTGCGACCCGACCCGGGGCGGCCGGGGGGGGCAGCAGCGATAGGCCAGCCCGCCCAGGCGTCTTATGTGCGACCCGCCCGGGGTGTCCCGTATGCGACCTGACCTGGGGTGGCGCCCCAACCTCCGGATCGGTCCTGCTGTGTTTGCGACCTGGGGAGGCACCCCAACCTCCGGATCGGCCCTACCGTGTGCGTGACCCGGGGAGGCAGGGCAGGCACCGAAGGATCGGGCCTGCCATCTGCCACCCGGGGAGCGGGCCTAAGCCAGCAGGTGGTTATCTCCCAAAGAGGCCCAGACTGGGAGAGGGCACAAGTGGGGCTGAGGAACACCCCCCACCCACCTCCCCCACCAGTGCACAAATTTTTGTGCACCGGGCCTCTAGTCTCCTATAAAAGACTTCATAGATAAAGTATCCCTTGACTTTTACAGGGAACATTTTGTTCATAGTCCTGTATTAGTATTTATGTTATACTAGAGGCCCAGTGCACAGAAATTTGTGCACTCGGGTGGGGGAGAGGTCCTTTAGCCCGGCCTATGCCCTCTTGCAGTCTGGGACCCCTTGGGGGATGTCCACCTGCAGGCTTAGGCCCGCTCCCCAGGGGAACAGGCCTAAGCTAGCAGTCAGACATCCCTCTGGCAGCCTGGGAGCCCTCGGGGGATGTCCACTTGCCAGCGGGGAGCAGACCTAAGCTGCAGCCAAAC